TGCAGGTATTTGATAATCACGTCTAAACAAAGCAATATGAAGAAAAGAAGAAATCTCAGATGAAATATGGACGAAAACCGGATGAAAACAACATGAAAAAAGCAGAATGCTGATTTTGTTGCTGTGACGACTGTCACAGCCCCATGACGACCGTCACACACCGTGACGACCGTCATGCAGGCAAAAACGCCCCACTTCAAATGCACGTGAAAGAAGCAGTTCCAAGTCCCAAATAGTGGACCACTACTCCCTGATAATTCTGCCTCAAAGTCCACCTTCTTCAAGTTATAACCGTTAGAATTCCATTTCTATAAAAGGGGAAGAAGGGGAACTCAGAAAGGGAGTCGCATTCAGATAACGAAGTGCTGCCCAATTTCATTTCCAGAGCAAACAGTTTTATTTTCTTTCCTATTTTTTCTGTTGCCTTTCATTCCTTCTGTAATTCTTATTTCCGTTGTACGATCCATTGGCACAAAGACCAGAATCCTGCCAACGTTTTTGGAGGATCTGCCCAAAGGTCAATTGGAATATTTACAGGTTTCTCATTTTAATCGTAATTCCAGTTTTCATTATGATGTATGCTATTATTTATTGTTTTCATTTATGTTTTACCTTTCCCAAATCCATGTCTGGCTAAATTAAAGTAATCGATATGTAATAATAATTCGGAAAGGATTTGATAATAACTGGTTGAAAACTATCTTCTTCAAAAGTTGTTTATGGTCTGAATGTTTAAATTAATTTACTGAATAAACTTCGTCGCGAAAGCGAGAACTTATTTAAAAGTAGTTTTGCCACGAAAGTGGGAAATTAATTAAGGTACGAACCAACAAGCGAAAGCTGCGGCAAGACCAGATAGTAAACACTAGTCATTCATTTTAATAACAGCGAAAGCACTTTAAAATGAATTAGAATTTAGAGATTTCCAAAAAAATAATTTTAACCCCGAATGGGACACGAAAGCGTACGTTTGGCCCTTAGAATTATGATTAGCGTCAATAACCATCGTGAGGCGAGAGTCTTCAAATCACCATTTTCTGCTTAAATAAACTCTGAAAAATATTTCGTATACCGGTAACTTGTCAAATCCCCGAAGAACATAATTACTGCATATCGATTCACTTAATTATAATTTAATTAACATTCTTAGTTCCCTTTAGTGACAATCTTATTCCCTTAAACATTATCTACCTAGCTAAACATAGTAACTCCCGAGAACACTAGTTTGATTACGAGTCCCTGTGGGATCGATATCTATTATTACTACGCGATAGACTGTGCACTTGCAGTTAGGTTGTATTAGACATAGAAAGTCGCGATCAGTACGTATTTTGATCATCATGTTTTATGCGAAACAATTGTTTATCCAATATGGGTGTTATCCTTGTTTACCTGTTTATCTTTGATTTGAATCGTGGTAGAGATACACTTTTCGGATCTGGAACTAGGAAAATCACCTGTTAGGTCCTAAACGCTAGAGATAGATTTAGGCTTAGCATTTGTGTGAGTATCAGATCTTAATGCTTTGTGTTGTGTTTTTTTTGGGTGAGAGATCACCAATGAGACAACACGTTTGTTCTCTCGACGCCGCGTTAGAGATAAGCTTTGTCGTGAGTGATACGTAAGGATATTAGACGAATGATTGCATTGTGTTTAATTTGATCAGAAGAATGCATGTGTTATCAATTGATGAAATCCAATCCCAACAAGGCTCCGTTTATATTTCAGTCTTTATTTATATATTCTGTTTTTATTTGTGGTTCCTTGAACCCTTTAAACCAAACCTTTTGAAAATCAAGTTTAGAAATGTAGAAATCGTTGAACGGTGTTCATATCGCACTGATCCCTGTGGAGACGACAAAACTGGGTTACTTAATATTTTTTGTTTGCTGCTTTACCGCTCCAACAAACTTCATGCGCTCCACCGACGACAAACTCATCTGTCGTTGCAATAGCGCCGAAATCAACAGAAAAACCTAAGTTTCTAACACTCTAACGACGGCGTCGGCGGCAGAAAATGGCTCCACCACTGCCAGACACCAACATCCGCCGAAATGCACCTACTCTACCCAGTTTTTCATCCTAACCGCATGTAAATCTAAGCAAAATAAGACTAAAGCTTGAGTAAAACAAAGAAGAACCATAAAGTTACAAGGACGAAGAGGAAGAAACGGTGGTCAGAGAAGCTTGGTCGGTGCTTGTACGGCTATGTTGTGCCGGTGGACGACGGAGAACGATGGCAACAGCAGAAGAAACAAAGAGTAGAGAAGAAGAAGAGACAAAAGCAAAAAATGAAAATGAACGCTTACTCTCTCTATTTATAGGCGAGCTAGTAGCACGTGCGCGAGCACGCGCGTGCCTAGGAAGATGTAGTGGCATCATTATAACCCTAACATAGCCATCATTACGCATTAACTACGGCCCGTGGCTCAATACATGCGTGTCACTCCATCTCTTCAAGTCCCATCAACCATTGGACTCCCCGCTCGCCGGGCACGCAGGACAATGGTTCGGGTTCCTATGGCACATGTATCCTCGAGTACCACGAACGACCTCGTCTCAGTAACTAGCGTCGACCACGCTTACTTCTCCTCAGATTCACAGGCTTCCCTCAAGTCATCACTCTTATGCTCAGGAATAACGACTTGGGAGGATCTTGTTTCAGACTGACTCAATGGCTTGGCATGACCCAATCCACTTCTGCACCCAAAACGGTCCAATATTCTAAGCCCTGTCAGTTGAGGACAAAGGAAAATCACTTTTTCTTTTGCCCCTCGGCCGAGGAGGGTTGGTCAGCTGACTCCCCAAGATCAGCTACTCTTCATCACATCTCTTCTACCCGTCACGCACGGTTCAACTATCTAGGAACGGCCACGAAGCGCTTGCCCGCGACCACGCCCCTGCTCGAAGTAACAGCTAGTTTCGAGCATGCATGCCCTTCACAACGACTAGTTCCTAACAGTTACCTATTTTTGGGGAGCGAATATCTAGTCTCGAAAATAGGGATCAATTGTCAAGCGTTGGGGCCATTATAAATAACCTCTCCTTTGAGAATGTCGGGTATTTCAAAATCACCTTAAGACATTCTTACTTTGTACTTGCCTTCTCCTCTTCCAATTCTTATTTTGGTATCGGATTGTCTTGTAAGTACACCTTCTTCCTCCTTGAATTTCAGCATCGAAAACGAAGTCTTTGCCCCACTTTAAATTTTGATCAACCGAAAGGATCAATATTAATACAATAAAATCAGACTAATGACAATAACTAATATTAATCTATCCTAATTAATAATAATATAAATTACCTTATGCCTAATTATTTCTATTAACCTAAAATAAAACTCCTTTGACTAATAATTCTAATTTCTCAATGTGACTTGATATAATAACAATACTACTAATAATCTATTCCTATTTAATTAATAATGATATTGTAAATTATTCTATCGCCAATCTAAACCATAAATATTAACCAATAATATATATACTACATTTTTGTATAATATTTCATCAATCTATAATTTTAATAAAAACCTTAATAACATTTATTTTTAAATGCTATATTCTAATAAGATAACTCATCCTAGTTACTAATCTAAAAATTAATAGTAATACCCTCTAGCATATTTCTATAAATTATACTATTTCAAATAATCTACATAATACACCTAAACTAAAATTAATCTCTAAGGACTAAAAGTCAAAACGATTCTGCTTTAATTTTTTAAGTCGATGAAATTGACCAAATGATTGGTAAAGGACTCTAGACATGTCGGTAACCTAAATTCTAAATTAAAAAATGATTATCAAATTTTAAGATATGACACTATGAATAATTCACCGCCCTAATAATAAAAAATAGTTTTAAATATTTTAAAAACATATCTTCGAACACATCTTTGATACACATCTAATACTTTATGAGTGAACCACCCTATTTTATTTAAATTTAAGCTTGATATTCATCTTCAAAATATCTAGGATACTCCAAAAATACACTTCCATAACCAGCGGTATAATACCAATATCTGAAGATACGTGTTTTCAATTATTGACTCAAAGGTGAACTTTTAGATGTTTTTTTTTTCAAAATAAAGATTCACTTACAAAATGCTGATGTGTGTGGGTCACTCACTTACAAAATGCTAATACTCATTTACAAAGTGGTGATGTACGAGTATTTTAAGTGTGTATCCATGCATCTCCCAAATACGAAAGTACAGATTAGAAGTTTCAATGTGTCTATCTTCACACCTTAGAATGAGAAAAGTTCAAAAAAAATTGCAACTAAGGAAATAGAAAACGGTGGGCAACAACAAAAAGGTAAAGTAGAACCGATTCTAAGATCCAAAATCAATTTTGCAAATGAACCGATTCTAAGATCCAATTCAATTCTGCAAATGATATCCAAACATGTCAAATTTAATAAAATCATGTTTGCACACAGTAAACGGACGCAGAACCAAACAAGCACTTATTCTATCAAAGACACCGGGATAAGAAACTCAACATAAACTCAACAATATTTGAGAGCAGTAAGTAGGATTTATACACAATAACCTAACTGCGATATTTACCAAAGATAGAATTAACTATTTTATTTTTTAAATTGGAGTTCTTTTTCATACTTAGCATCGCCCTTTTAGAAATGTGATCTCCGTACAAAAATCAAAGACCCGAGCTACAAAACCAGCAAGATATTCAACTGTAGCCCTTAAGTTATAACTACAAAACCAGAAAGATATTCAACTGTAGCCCTTAATTATAAGTAAATCCAACTCAACCACATAATAATGCAAACACAACATTAAAACGGCAAGTACAACATAGTGAAGCATCGTCTACAGAGTATCTAACATCCATCAATGGTGTAAAGTGGCCTAGTCTGCATAACAGGACCTGGCATCAGCATGTCAAATCATCAGCTGCACTTTCCAAATAACTCTGACAAATTCAGGAGACGAGCCACCCATACCATCAAAACAGCTCAAATGTTGCCCTCTACGATGGCACTGCAAATAGTCCATAACCAGGTAAGAAAAGACTCAACAGAATGTAAAATTTTAGATGACACAATAAATTGATGATAAGTATTTATTAAATTTCAAGCACAAAAGAAGGGGAAAAAATGGTGTTTCAGCACCATCATGAAACATATATCTAAAATTTAGGTTTCAAAAAGATACTAAACCAATTCTAGGAAAGCACCATTCAAGCTTTTTTTAATGCATTAATAAAATTCTAGAGCTTGAAATTGACAAATGGATTCAATAATTGACCATTGGAATTTGACAGGAATTCAATGAAAAAAATGGACTTTTCCGGAGAAAAAGATAAGTTGATAAATTTCTAAACTAAACCATTACAGGAATTAAAATTAATGGAAATGAAAAAGCACGTACTATAGGTAGAGGTATCAATCTGCTCAGGAAGCTGCTTTATATCTATTTCAAACCTTGACTGAACCTGCAAATCACACCAAAACATAATTAGAAATGCTAATGGACAACAAAATAATAATGACAACAAGTCTGTCACTTACATTGTTGAGAACATCAACATCAGTAGAGCATGAAACAAATGTGATTGCAAGGCCTTTGGTACCAAATCTTCCAGCTCGGCCAACCTGTACAGTGTTCCTCCAAAAGAGTCAGATAAACCAAAATTTAATGATAAAAATAAATGGAATATCAAAATCAAGACAGATCATGTTTATTTATACCCTGTGCAAGTAAGTGTCTGCAGAATCAGGCATGTCATAGTTTATAACAATATTGACACGTTCAATGTCAATCCCTCTTCCAACCAAATCTGTTGCAACAAGAATTCTTGTATGCCCCTCCTTGAAACCTCTATAACGCTTTAACCTACAAAATCATTGAAGATTATACACAAATGTCTTGCAAGACTTCGTAACAGTGAAACAGGGTAAAGAAGACAATGACAAAACAGCAAATTAATATACTAAACCGACTGCAATGAAGTTGTTAATAAACAATTAAGGTATAGGTACCAAGAGAAACACTTCTCCACTGAACTTCATTTGCCATTTATACAGTTAAAAGTTTAAAAATTTACAAATATGAACTTGTTCTTTCAAATCAACAGTGGTCTTTGCTTTAGCACTAGAACATTGAAACCCTCATTCCTCTGTAATAGCATCAAACAAATCTCATATATTTATAAATTTCATACAGGTGTGCGTGCTATTTTGTTTTGAAATATAATATCCCAGATACCCTTGATGAGTACTGAAAATGCTTAGATAAGACGAATATTAAATCCCAAAAAACTTTTGAAAAGAGAACATAATCACAAAACAAACAAAATTTGGCCATTTGAATCACCAAACATCAATGAAAACACCTCCTAAGCATCCTGTGTTATCTCATAAAACAAACCTTTCTTCCTGGGACATGCCGGAGTGAATGCATATAGATGGAAAATTGCATTCTATGAGTAGTCTGTCAAGCTCAGCTGCTCTGCTAACACTTTTCACAAAGATAACAACTTGGTTGAAGTCTAGTGCATCAAGAAGATCATTCAACTTGCGGTTTTTCTCCTCCTCTTTCAATTTGATGTAGTGCTGCCACGACAAACAAGGTAAGCCATTCAAACCAGACATTTTAAGAGGACAAAACTTTAAAAGATATAAGCAAGTAACTTGCATAAAGCCTACCTGAACAAGTCCATGAAGAGTTAACTTGGCTTCATCGTCAACATAAATTTCCATAGGCTGAAAGGAACAAATTTGACAGTAAATTATGTTAGAGTCCGTGCTCAAGTTAAGGGAATCCACAAGGAAATGAATGATGGATGTAGATCCCTTGAATCACAGTTCTTGTCTGCCTGTTTTGTCTCCTTGCAGAAACTTCTATTTGCCACTGACATTGGACACTTACACATAAAGAAAAAGGGCAGCAACAAAGCCAAAATATACCACCACCACCCCCCTAAAAAAGCCCATTTATACCCAACACTATCATATATTAGAGACAAAACAAACTTCCAACATGAACAAAAAGAGAGCAGACAAAATGCATAACCCCACAGTCAGGAGTATTACTAAAAATCCCATCCACATCTTTACTCCAATCCAGTGGCAAACCCATTCAACCTCGCCGGCTGTGTGCTTAGTAAAAATTGGACAAGTGAAAAGTAGTGCTGAAACAGAAACCTTATCAGAAGTAAAGATCGGTGAAACCATAGCATTCGAAACAACTAAAAACCTCTCAGGGAATGTGGGCAGTATGATAAAGTGACTTCTAATTCAAGTAGTATTGGCCATGAGACATTACATCTTGCATAAACTTTTTGCAGACTGGGCGGATTTCCTTGCTGAGTGTTGCTGAAAACATCATAACTTGCTTATCATGGGGAGTCAATTTGAAAATGTTTTGAACATCTTTCCTCATGTCTGCAAAAAGCATAATAAGAACAATAAAAAACATGGAAAATAAAAGAAGACCACTCGTAGGATTCAACTGAACAGTATGAGTATTCAGCACATACCTAGTGATTCAAGCATCTTATCACATTCATCTAAAACGAAATGTCTAACATTCTTCAAAGAAAGATCCTTATCCCTAGCCAGTGCTAGTATTCTCCCAGGCGTTCCGACAACAATTTGAGGGCACTCATTTTTCAACAGATCCTTGTGAACTTTGATATTGACCCCACCATAAAAGACAGCAACCTTGAGATCAGTTAAGTAGGTACTAAACCTCTCAAACTCATGGCATATCTGAAAGGTAAAGGTTGCAAGCCGTTAGTCAAAATAATCTGGTATAACAAACTCCATAACATTTTTAAGCTGATGCCCCAATAAATACCTGGTACGCTAGTTCTCTTGTATGACACAGAACAAGTGCAGATACTTGACCTGGAACAGGATCAATCTGCTGCAAAGTTGAAAGAACAAAGACAGCAGTCTTTCCCATTCCAGATTTCGCTTGACAAATTACGTCCATTCCTAGGATTGCTTGAGGTATGCACTCGTGTTGCACTGATGATGAAGCAAAGAAAAAAGGCCCGAAGGAACCAACGGTAAGTAAAATAAACCATTCTGACGCTTTTAATTTGATACCGTTACCAAAGCATGTTAATTCTCCAGAACAGTATTGTAATAGATGTATTACCTGTAAAATGTTAAACAAGCATGATTTCAGTTAACTTCTCGCATAACATTTAACAAATTTATGAATGAATTTAGTCCTCCAACTTTGAAATTAATCCCCTTCTCCTCTTATTCTTTTAAAAGCTCACATTTCAAAAAATAAAAACTTCACTCAAATTTAAAATAAACAAATAAAACAACATTTTATTTTCAAACCCTAATCACGCCAGCTAAAACTGCAATTAAAATTTCATCAAAAGTTATAACTTAAACTTCCAAAAATTATTTCATATCCCACATTCATCAAATAAATAAATGAAATGGAATTAAATTAACAATTTGCCTTCAGATGGATGTTCAAATCCCGAATCGACAATAGCCCGAAGAAGCTCTGGTTTGAGAAGAAAGTCTCTAAAGCCTGAACTGTGGATTCCGACATAGCCCCTGCCATACAAAGAACAAAGATACATAAACCACATGCCGAAAACATCATGGATCTGTGTCTTAAACCAACACGAAGTATACTAAACTCAAATTGGTACTGATAATTAAAACTACTCTCCCAGAAAACATGAGAAAACTTACTTTTTGGTAGCTTCACCGTTGACTTTAGCTCCGTTGGTGTCGGGAGCTTTGTCTTCTTCCTCTTCGTAGTCGAGAAGCTCTTCCTCGTAAGCTTCGTCCTTTGTTTCTGCCATTAGCTGCAGAATCCACCGTGTTAATCGAAATAATCGTTTAAACGAATTATGAAACAAAAATATAATCGATTAAGGTAGGGTATTCTAGGGTTTTAGCAGAAGATGAGAGTACCTGCGAAAGGAAAGACTGAGAAGAAGATTGCGAAGTGGGGGATTGGGGATAGGGTTAGGGTTCCGAGAGAGGCTGCAACGTAAATTTGTTAGATAAAAAACAATTTGGGGAAAATAAAATGAGAGTGAACTTCCGCGTCCCGGTGACTGAGCAAACGAGTGACAAAACTAATAGGGTTAATGGATTGGATGGAAGCTCCTTTTATTATGCTACTCTTTTACCTATTGTAAAATTTATTTATTTTTTCTAAAAAAACTTAGATATTTGTAGAACAAAAAATAAACAAATATTTCATCTAGTATTTAAGTATTACTAATTTGAAAGTTCAATTTTTTTTAATATAACCAAGTATTTCAAATTAATTCCCAAATAAAATAAACTTTTAAAATATTTTTCAAAACAACCAACATTTAATGTTGGGTCGCCAATTCAATTAGGGAATGCACCTCTCATTCAACAGAGTCGTCATTTGGGCTGGCGAATGAGTATTGGTCTTCAATGAATGAAAATTTTACCTCATACCCTGTCATTTATTCTTCTACCCTTACCTTCTATATTTTTTGACCAAAATATTCTTATATAAATAAGTATAAATTTTTTCTAATTTAATTATTTAATCTAGAATTTAATACATAAATTTATCTTTAAACACTACTTAATTGATATGTTTAACAAACATGGCAAGTATTATATACTTTCCGTAAAAGTATTATATAATTTTGTTTATAAAATTTTTAAACTTTAATTTTTTTTAAAATTTTAATATTATAAAAAATGAAAAATAAATTATCCATATTTTTAAAAACTGATATTTTTATTAATTTCAATTTACTATCAAAAATATATATTTTTTCTTTTTTAATTCATATTTTATGTTTTTAGTTTTTTTTCAATGTCTTCCAATTTCAAATTACCTCATAGCTGATATCATGAGAAACTGTTCGTCAAAAATTATTCTATGTTTTTTATATCAGTTTCTTTAAACCGTAATGTCTTTCAACTATTATCTTCAAATTACCTCATATCCGCATCATTTATAATTTTTTAATAATTAGCTCAACTATGAGGTAATTTATAATTATGGTTCGAAATATTGGCTATTTCTATCATCTTTCTTCAAACAGGTTGCCTCATACTTGAAGTATTTAGAAAATAAGAAGAAGAAGAAAATTACTAGCTCAAAAATCGTGTTGTATATAGTTATTGTCATTCAAATCACATGCAAATATATATTGGTATCCTTAACATCTTTTTACGAAAAATATATAATACTTTCCGTATTTATTGAGAATATTAATTAAGTAGTGTTTAAAATTAGATTTATTTATTAAATTTCATATCAAATAATTAAATGAGAAAAATTTTACATTTTTTTATACGAGGATATTTTGGTTAAAAAAAATATAAGATAAGGGATTAAGGGTAGAAGAATAAATGATGAGGTATGAGGTAAAATTTTCTCAATGAATTCACCCATTGGATTGGCGAATCAGGCCTGTTTCATTTTTTTTCTTTTTTTTTTGTTTCCAATTTTTCTTTTTTATTTATTTGTTTTTATTTTTATTTTTATATTTTTTGTTTTATGTGATATATTTAAATTGATTTAGGTTTAAATATATTTAAAATAATAAATATATTTGTGATATAGTTTTAAAATATATTTTAAATATATTTGTGATTTAAAATAAAAATCAATTTAAATTGATCTAAATAATAAATATAGTTTTTAAATTATAAATATATTTAAATTTTTAAATTGTAAATTAATTTAAATGATAAATATAGTTTATGTGATATAGTTTTATAAAATAATAAATATATTTGTATATAATTTTAAAACATAATAAATATATGATTAACATATAATTTTAAAACATAACTCGTGTATAATTAAATATATAATTTTAAAATATATAATTGTAGGTCACCTTTGAATTTTGATATTTTTATATCTTACGTTTAAAAATTTTGGTATTTGTTGAAAAAAAGTATATAAATTTTGTAAGGGTATTTAAGGCATATCATATGGTGTACGTACTATTTTATTTTTCTATAAATACGACTGCAAACGCATATATTTTTTCACAACATTTATACCAAAAGACTGAAGTCTTAATAATTTTGAGTGGAGTGGAGTCAAGAATGTTTGCATTTCTAAATCAACGTTCTTCGTCGTCGTCATCAGCATCGGAGGAACCGTTTCCAACATTTCCTCTAATGAAAAGAAATGCCCTAGTTTATTTTTTAGCAACAAAGCCTCCAATGAAGGTGCTCCTATGGAATACGCAGACGTTGGAGAATTTGCATAGGAAACTGAACTGCTGGCTAAAAGGAGGTATTGCTGCAGGTGAAAAGATTAGGAAAATTAAGAGGTTGGTCGAAGAGGCAGGGAGAAACGGAGTTACTCGTGAATGGAGAAAAATGGAAAATGATGTCGGTGTCCTTGTGATTATGTTAACACCAAAGAAGATAACGTTGATGGTTGTGATATCGTAGACACCTTGATGCATTGTTTTGTTTTATGTCGTTTTGTTGTTTTTATTTTTGGAATGTTGTTGTGATATTAAGTTATGTTTGTTTAATTTTTGTTGCTTGCTAATTATAATCGGTTAAGTATGTTTTAAAAGGAATGAAATTTGCTTTTGACTTAAAGGGACACGGTTACATTAGACACTATGATCTTGTATTTGATCATACGTTAGGACATTTTGTACGATTGTGTCTTGGTTGCTGACACGAACTGCATAATCTTACCATTTTGTTTGCGATATCCATCTCCGTTCGAATGCGCGTGCTGTTAGGGCGACCCTTTTTCTTTCTTCGCATCAAATCATTATGCCGGACAATTTCACCTTTGTATTGAGGCCAATAGTCATCCTTTGCCACCACCTGAAAGCTACATGTGTAGACATTGCATTGACTTATCACTTGGTGAACTGCAGAAATAAGGTTGGTTGGGTCATGGCGCGCCTTCGAATATGCTGCTATAACATGAGAGCAAGGCATACGAAATGCCTGAAACTTTCCACAATCACACCAGCTCCTATCCAATTCAACATGGTAACATCCCATAGGCCTTCCTTCATTGTGATCAATTGACTCGGCAACACTGGATCAACCTTTGTTACAGCCAAAGATTGTGACCACATGTGTGTTGGCTTTGACAGCTTTGTCTTTCATGAATGTTGTTGAACTATTACTGCACAGCTGACCAGATTGTAATACTGAACCCCACTTCATTCGTATGCTATCAAAGAGTGCGCCTAGCCTAAAATATATTGCCTTTACCAAGGTAGTTACCAGTAGGTTTCGGATTCCCTTGAAAACAAAATTCATTGATTCAACGAGGTTAGTTGTCATGTGGCCCCATCGCACCCCATTGTCGTATGCCCGTGTCCATTTTTCTTTATCAATGTTATCAATCCATCTTAATGCATCCGTGTTTGTTAGTCTAATCTCGTCACGGTAGTGTTTGAATGTGGGCTCTGTTAGTGCATATTTTGCATTCACAACCTTCTTCCGTAGTGTTTTGTCTTTGATTTCCCGCATGAAATTTTAGGCGATATGTCTTATGCAATACACATAGGTCGAGGGAGGATCCTGCCAACCGTTATCAAGGTTATTGTATACACTCTCGATTAATGGGTGTCTATCAGAGATCAAACATAAGTTAGGTTGGGGAGAAACGTAAAAGCGAAGATTTTTTAAGAAAAAACTCCAACCCCCGACAGTCTCTGTCGCGGTGAAATTTGGATACCAAGCTATTGATTAACTTGAATCTTAATTAATTTGCAACCGAACTTTAATTTGTCCAAAGGAAGGGAAAAAGATCGAATTACTCACAATGCAATGCAAATGCAAGCTAGAGAGTTATAGGTTCGGGGGTTGGTTAAACTTAGGGAAAGTGCTAGCATCCTAAGATTTTGTAGTACTCTACAGGAACCTCTTGTTTTATGTTTGTTTATTGCTATGTGTTATCAGCTTAAGGATAAAAGACCTAGGGGTTTATTTCTAAGTATACTCGACAAGATATTGCATCTTGTACCTACATATTCTGACGGGAGTGGAATCAGAGTATTTGTAGTCCCCCTAAAGGGTTTAAGAAGTTATTTGACTATGGTCAAAGTTCCTACGGTATAAGGTAGGTTATTGATTGATTTTAGGAGAAAATATGAGTTGTCATTTTAAGGGAGATTACTTGACTAGGCCACCATGAATTGTAGAGATGTTTTGATGTGGGGCAGAAGTTGTACCTCGCTTAAGATGATTAACATCTCATTCTCTATTGTGTTTGAATAATGTGAATTGAATTGTTGAATGTTTTTATCTAAGTTGTAAAAGATAAAGAAAAAGGTCCTTTGTAACACCCCCTTTCTATACCCCTAACTAAATCAATTAAATCATTTAGGCACTTAATAAAAATTCCATCAGAGTATAATTATAACATGGTATAAAAGAGGCGCATCACATTATCCATGAAACGAAACATAAATAATACCTGCTCATAAAGATATGTAACAAAAGGGGTCAATCTCAACTAAAAACAAAGCATAACGCTTAAAACTCACATATCAACATTTAGAATAAAGCGGAAGTATCTAAACATTGAAATCACTTCATTAACATAAGCATCATATATAACATTCAGACTAATTCAATTCATCAGTCAAGTTTACAAAACATTCAGCAGCAGATACATACACAGTTGTATCACAAAAGAATCAAAACAATTCCTAACTACCTAGTGTTACATATCAGAGCCATCTGACCAAAAGAAATGAAGACTCGCTTCACAAAAGACCTCCAGCATCCTACTCTGCAATGCCTCATAGAGCATTATAAAACAGCAGAAGGGTGAGAAACATTATCATAACAAACAATGCATAAA